CTAAGCTGGCTGTGCTGCTGTAGCAGCTTGGTAATAGGTGTGATGGGAGCCAAAGCCAGCCACTGCTTGTACCGGGCTTGGGGCCCTGTGATAGGAGATACGATGCAAGCTGAGGCTGACTGGTACTGGTGTCAGGCTTAGGGCCACTTGGTAGGAGCTACAATGTAAGCTGAGGCAGGTGGTGGCCTGTGCTGAGCTTGGGGGCCTTGGAATAGGCTCCCACATGTGTGTGAGGTCTGAAGCCATTTGGAGCAAGCAGGTTGGGTGGGCCAAATGGTGTTAGCCTGGTTAATGGAGAGGGACATATTTGGCACCCACCTGAGCCAGGCCAGCCAGGTGGAAGGGGAACACAACAAAAGAAACAAAGGAACAGATGTATCCACCTGCACTTCTCTCCCTCGATCCCTGATCCCTGACCCTCCAGCCCTCAACTGTAAAGTTAGTCAATTTCATTCCTCTCTGTGTGACCCAGGCACTTCTCAAACTGCTGCATTTGCACTGAAACTTGGGAGCAAGTGAGTTTGTGCTTGAGCCCTTTAAGAGCAGCATCTTGGTCTCTCATTGCTCTTCCTCTATCTTGGACATCATCCCTGATGGTTTTAAAAGCCACATTTCATGGGGATTCCTCTTTGTGGCACAGGTCCCCTGGGCTGGGGAGCCTGGTTTGGGAGTTGGACCACTGTGGCTGAGAGAGATCTCTCTCCTGTTTGTGAGAGGGGGCCAGCCCACACTGCACCCCTCCCCTCCTACCCATTGAATATGGCTCCTTTATATCCTCAGTTTTAGGACTTTTATTCAGCTAGTCTTCAGGTGATTCTCAGCAATGATTGATCTATATTTAATTGTAATTTCCATGTGTTTTGGGGGGAAGGTGAGTTCAGGATATACCTACCCCACTATCGTTACCCTGCCTCTAGAACTTATTTTTAACTTTGTATAGGAGTTTTATTGAGATATCATCTACATACCATATAGTTCACCCATTTCAAGTTTATAATTCAGTGGTTATTAGGATAGTCACAGAGTTGTGCAACCATTGTGCAGAATCAGTTATAGAATACTTTCCTCGCCCCCAAAAGAAACCCCATACCTGTTTCAGCCACTCTATTGCTCCCAAAACAACCCTTCCCCAGCCCTAGACAATCACTGATGTGCTTTCTGTTTCTACGAATTTGCTTATTCTGGACATTTCATATAAATGAATACTACAGTGCGAGGTATTTTGTAACTGGCTTCTTCTACATAGCATAATGTTTTAAAGAACATCTCTTTGTGCCATGTATTAATACTTCATTCTTTTTATTACTGAATGTTATTCTGTCATATGGATATACCACATTTTCTTAACCCATTCAGCAGTTGATGGACTTTTAGTTGTTTCCACTTCTGTCTAAATAGGAATAATGGTGCCATGAACGTTTGTGTACAAATACTGAGACTTATTTTAAGAAATGATCCTGTAGTTTTTGTCATTGTAATAGAGGAGGCCATAGGATCAGATACGGCAAGAATGTACAGTAGTGTGTGCCAGGAATGGAAAAAATAGGCCATCAAGATGAACTTACTGGAAGAATTTAAGGCCAAGTCTAACTATTCATAAGGGACTCGAGCTTGGACACACAAAGCTTAAAATTATGATTCTCCTAGAGACTGCTATGGCTTTTCGCTGACCACAGACAATAGATGTTTGCTATTTTACTGTATTTGTCTGAAAATTGAAACACACTTTACCCAGTGGTACTATTTCTGGGACTAGACTTCCTCACTTTTAAAATCTCTGTAGTACTAGTGTACTTTTGAATGGTGAAGACTAGCTATTGTTATTTTTGTCTTGGCTTATTTTCAGGTATAACAGTTAGGATTTTTAATGAATTCTTCTCTTCTTGTGTTGAAGTTTTGATTAATACATTTATTCTACGGATAATAATGTCTTAGCCTCTGATCAGGAATTTGTGAAAAATATCTCGATCATCAAAGGTAAACTAAAGCTAATTAACATTGTCAGATTCTGTCTCTTGGAACTCACTGAAGATACAGATTGATGTGTCAAGGGCCTATCCCCAAAATAGAGTACATCTAGATACATTAACCTGTAGTCTTGGTCCAAATATTTATTACAGCAGTAATCTACACACCTAATTTGATGATTTTGTCACATACCCAGCAGACTTTGTCAGATCTTAGATCTCATCCTAGTAATCTTAAGCCAGTGATTTCATTTTGTACAGATGATGGAAAATATATAATAATTTCCAAGTTCAAGGGTATCTCTAATAATGACTAGAGGGCTATAACTCAAGTATATATATATAGAGAGAGAGAGAGCAAATGTTGGATGACAAATCAGTTTCTGAGCACTCTAGATGTATATTTTCTGCCAAGCTCAAAAAGTCTCAGTAGATTGCTTTTATTTAAGATAATTTAAGTGCTTTTAAAAAAATATTTTTATTGATGTCAGAGAGGAAGGGAGAGGGAGAAAGAGATAGCAACATCGGTGATGAGAGAGAATCATTGATCAGCTGCCTCCTGCACGCCTCACACTGGGGATTGAGCCTGCAACCCAGGCATGTGCCCTGACCGGGAATTGAACTATGATCTTCTGGTTCATAGGTCCACACTCAACCACTGAGCCGCACCAGTCAGGCTAAGTGCTTTCTTTTAATAGGAAGTGTTTAGCACGCCTGAGTTTCCAAATCTAAAAAGTTCAGAATAGGGATAGAAATAAGTAACAACTACAGTAATAGCCAACATTTATTGAATACTTATAATGGGCTGGGTGGGGTTCTAAGAAAGTTGTACAGACGGAATACAAACCATACTGGCTCATAAATCCTCCTGATGGGCTGAGTGCTTCAGTCAATTTCCTAGCCTCAGAAAGTGGCAGAGCCTATTTGTGAATTCAAGTCTCTCTGACCAAAATGTCAGGCTCTCAAACCCTCTTCTAAGTCCCCCCTCAGCCATGGTGATAAAAGGCATGCAAAATGCAATGTGTAAAAAAAAAATAATAATAATAATAAAAATCTTATTTTTCTTTACATGCTTCAATATCTCTTAAAATGCAGATATCACTGGAAGAAATGGCATCTACCTAATGAAAGAGTAATATGCTAATTGATCATAACTCCGTGACACCCACCAGCCAATCAGGAGTGACTATGCAAATTAACCCAACAAAGGTAGCAGGTTAATTTGCATGCATGGGTCCCGCCATGCCCCCCCTCACCCTCAGCTGCTCCAGGCTGGAGCAGAAAGGCTGCTCTGGCCAGAGCAAAGGCGATGCCAGCAGCCAGGGGAAGGAAGGCCCATTTGGGCACGAATCTTCATGCATCAGGCTTCTAGTATTATTATAAAATCCCATAAGGTTTAAATAACTTCTATATAACACCTTTATGCTGATAAAATTTCAGTAGGAAAGGGGTTGGACTTAAGAGCACTGAGTGCATGAAAGAGGGACAGTGTTAAGGTAAACAAATTAGAAACAAGACATTTTTACTGTTTTGCTCAAGGCAGCCCTAAAACATATATACTTTAACTTTCCACTCTATGCACCTCTTCTTAATTAACACTGGTAATGCCAAGGCACATTGATGTCTTTTCCCATCCAGTTTGAGGGTACTTTTTACTTTGTATTTGATAAAATTTTACAGTATAGCTTTAAACATTTTTATTATAATGGAAAGTCTATGTGCCATTCCAGGTTTTTAAGCTAGATCATGCCTGCAAAATTTGTCTTCATCTTCCTTTTAGAAATTGCTAATGTGCTAGACTTACAGTTGATGTAATTGTTTCTGTAAGATGTATTACATTTGCCTGAGTCCAGATTGATTTAGCTGCTTTTAATATTGTATGAGGATAAAGCTAGACTTCTCAGGGCCTATACTTTTTAGATGCAGACCTTTGTAGTTGTTTCCACTTTATGAAGTAGACTAAAATGTATAAAAGCACAAGCAAACACAGAGTGTATAATACTGTGTAAAAGGCATTGAGCAGTGGAAAGTGACATTCAATTCTTTATTTCAAAATACCATTATACAGCTATATAATTACACGTACTAGGAAAGTTCCATTTAAAGAGTAGACAATGTGCTTTGAAAACACTTGGCCTCTGTAAATTGATTACGCAAGAAAAGATTGCTGTAATGTTCTTTATCCTAACTAATGTGTAGCTAGTAGTGATTGCCAAAAGGGCCAAGAGACGTCATGTTTTCAACAGATAGAGGTAAGAGCGATCTAATTCATCTTATATCCATTACTTGCTTAGGAAAATTTTAACTTGACTAGAAATTTTTTAAAATGTAATTTTGTATCTAGACAACCACATTTATACACTTGGTGACATAAAATTAATCAGATACATCTATGTAGTTGTAGAATGGATGGAGTGTTTTTAGCTCTATGGAGAATAAGAAATTAATAATGGATGGGAGACTTTTTTTTAGGATGACTAGCTGCAGGAAGAAATTGTGGTGACTGGGCCATGTGCAGTGAATTTGAATTAGTGTTCTTTCGGGAACTACGAGAGAAATATAATTTACAGATAATAAAGAATGTAAATAGATTCTCTGGAGTCGTTGTCTGATCGCTGACATGTATTCCCTGTATTGAAATTACTTCATACACATTCTAATAATTAGAGAATCAGTAAGGGTGATATGTACATGTATAACTTCAAAAACAGCAGAATATATATTGGTACAATGTAAATTGATAGCCAGCTGATAAAATGAGTAAAATTTGTATTTGTGATTAAGCTTTAAAACAACTTAACCGTGGTATCTCAATGATCTTTTATGGCAATGATCTGTGCTTTATAAATACTGCATCCAAAAAAATCTAGCATTTGGGTTGTTGTTGTTTTTATCCTCACCCGAAGATATTTTTCCACTGATTTTTAGAGGGAGTAGGAGGGAGGGGGAGAGACAGAGAGAGATAAACATCCATGTGAGAGGGACACATAAAATTGGCTGCTTCCTGCACATGCCCTGACTAGGGCTGGGGGGATGGAGCCTGCAACCGAGACATGTGCCCTTGACCAGAATTGAACCCAGGACCCTTCAGTCCATGGACAGATGCTATATCTACTGAGCCAAAATAGCTAGGGCCAGATAACTTTTAAAGGTTTTGGCATATTTGTTTTAAATATAAGCCTTAATTTATAAAGGCTAAATGACTTAATTTCCCAGCCCTTAAAAAAATATGCCCTAGCACAATCCTGTAACCCTGATCTTGTTTATCAGGAAACATTTAGTAGTTATCTCTAATGCAACCCCCTGAACATCATTTGTTCTTGATTATTTTTGTAATCATTGTAAATACCTTTAAAAGAGAATTTAGACTCAAATCAAAGAACTATTTTACTTGGTTTCTGGCCAAGATACCTCTTTTGAGCTATTTCTGGCTTTTCAGAGTTTTGGCATGACAGCTTGTCCTGCCTCAGAGCTTCAGGAGGAAAAACTAGTCCCTTCAAAGCAAATTCGTTACTGAGCCTAATAGAAGGTTCATATGTATGTTACATATTTGTTTAAGAGAAAGGAACTCCTTTGGTTCATTTAATCCTGTCCTGGTGAATTTAGGTTTGAATGGATACCGAGGAAACATTGATCTTACAGCTGCAAAATCAGCAAGCCTGGTAGGCTTCTGATCAAGATCACATTAGCTCTTGCTTTAAGGCATCTTCCTCAGCTCCTACCATTTATCCTGTGGTAGATAATATATGGAGTGAAACAAAAATGGAAAAAGCCGTAGCTGAGCTTTAAAATAAGATGAACCTCTCTCTGGATCAGAAATGGAAACAAACACAGGGCACAGTCAGCAATATGTGGTGTGTAGTGGGCTTTCAGCTTCTGCTTAACAGGAATTACAATTTTCCTCACAAGGTGGGGCCCAGAGCCAGACATTCGAAATCGGGACCCCGCAAAAACACACCTGGAAAGGCACATTCATAGGCATGCTTATATGTGAAAGAACATTGAAAAAAGAACAGTTTGGAGGCTGCGGAGGACTTCTGCTTACTAGTATATGCAGACATGGGCCTAATGTGGAGCCTGGGGAATAGGTGGGGAGTTGGGAAAGAGAGCATCAGAGCCTTAATACCAGGGCATGAACCATGCTGCCTGGTGGTGAAACTCACAACAACTGCACTCATATCATTCAATGTGACTGCTGCAGATTAGCAATCTAAGATCTTGTAGCTCTTCCAGGCTAGAGGCCTGTGAATGGCAGATGGTCACTGCCACAAAACCACTTGATGGGGAGAGGTGAGTTCCAGCAGGAGAGGAAAGCACACACCATCTCTTTCAAAATGTGTCTTCAAACCAAAATCCAAAACACATTAAAAAGTGAGAGTCCCTCCAAACTGACCATCAAAAGATGAATTAAGCCTAGATGAAAGTAAAATGATAGAATGGTACAACAAGTATTGCTTGTGAGTACATTTGGATGTGCTCAAAGACATAAATAAGAAAACACCTTTGTTAAAAAAGAACAAGAAGCTAAGACACAGGAATAGATGAAGAATCGATGGATCTGAAAAAGACATCTTTGGAAATAAAAACTATCACAACTGAGGCTACGAAACCCAATAGACAGGATAGAGTGGACCCAGTCACAGAAGATAAAGAGAATTAAAAGATGATTCTGAGGACTTTATTGTGCACCACACTAAGAGAAAAAGATAAGAAATATAAACGAGCAATTAAAAGAGATGAGGAATTGGCCACAAGGCTCTAAAATATACCTAATCGAAGTCTCAGAAGAGAATGGATGAAATGGCAGAGAAGCAATGTTTGAAGCTGTTAACAGCTGAAAATCTTCCAGAACTGAAGAAGGATGTGAGTTTTTAAGGAAATGGTCTCCCGAGAGAAATTTCAAACATCTGGGAAGGCAAGAAAGGCTCTCCTTAGGAGCAATTGGTATTCTGCACAGCTCAGCTTTGGGAGGCCCTGGCTGATTCAAATGACCTTTTCTGTTTTTCACTGGAAAACATAAAAACTGAAATGTAATGTGTTATATATACTAAACCATGTTTTCTGAGCAAAGGCACTTATAAATAACCCGTTAAAGGAGAATCTGTAGACAACTAGACCCAGAGGATCAAGATATCAAGGAAGACTTCTCTAAAAAATGCCATTACCTTTGTGAAAAGTAGGTGGCAAGATAGTAATAATTTGTTTTTAGACATGGTCTTCAGGGTAGTATCACAATGTTTTTAAAAATAACATTGTGGATGACCCAATAGAGTAGAAAGAAGAATCCTGAATAGGACATTACGTAAGAAGGTATTACTAGTTGGAACATTTCAATGAAGGTGAATTTTTTTTTTTATTGAATACTGTATGGGGGAAAAATAAAAGATAATTCCTGTCAAGTGAAACCTTATGAACATTGGATGCTGCTTCAAGTTCACAGAAGCATTTAGGTGATTGTCAGTTAGATGGTCAGAAATTGGATTTAATTAATGCGGACAACTGCATACCTTGGTTCACACCCAGAGGACTTACATGCAGAATCTGGCTGAAGGTAAACTTATTTTGATAAATCTCTACTTATTACTGCTTTGCAAAGCAGTTTGCTACAAAACAAACTGCACTCACAACTGTCCTTGAAGATGGAGAACTGATGGGATTTCAGTCAAGACAATTAGGTTCTTACAAGGGTATTTCTTGGATCACATGATCTCACACATCTAGAGGAAATAATGAACAACATAAACAGACCCAGAGAAAGAGAAGCAGTGGTCAGACTCTCAAATCTCAGAGGGAAAGTAAGGGAGGATGGGGGGAAGAGGAAGAGATCAACCAAGGACTTGAGTGCATACATATGGGCCTAGCCAGTGGCCATGGACAATGGGGGTTGGAGGGGCCATATCTAGGGAGGGGTTTGGGATGGGAATGGGGGAATAAGGACAATTATGTGAGACCATAATCAATAAAAAAGAGACAAATAGGAGATTATATTCCTGTAGATGAAACAGTCATATATTGGTTTCCTACATAACTTTAAATTCCTAGAAAACTTATAACGTTAGCTATAAGGTAGAGCTTTAAAAAAAAAGAAAAAAGAATAGATTCGATTTTATTTCTTCTTTAATGTGAAGATACATCATTTTGAAACTAAGCATTTGGAAGACATGCCATTCTCTGCCCAGATACTGAACAACAGGAAATATTTTCCTAACAGAAAACCTGATCATGAAATTATCTTACTTTCTCCAGTGGGACAATGGGAAAACTCTTTTCACCTCACTTGCATCTCATATCTTTTCTCATAGATATAGATCCTCCACATTTGTGGATAGGAAGTTCTCTCGCCTGATGAAATATCATCTGTGAACAACAGAAATTTGTCCTCTTATTTTGGTATTTATTGTAATTGAAAAAAAGGTATCAAAGAGTTCTAGTCAGCCACCAGGTATCTGATAGCAGAAGTGTCATCAATGGGAACTGTATTTCCAGCAATTCTAAAGCAAGAATGAAATCTGTAATCCTAAATGTATTTATTAAAAAGCATAAAAATAAATATGATTTAAGCATTCAACATGAAAAGCTAGAGGAAAAGGCATAGGGAATGGCACCACGTTATTATAGATATGAAATGAGACTAGAAGTGAAGAGCTGACCTTTCACTGGATCTGAAGACTCAAAAACATGAAGTCTGTTCTTCCCAGATTAATATATAAATTCAGTGTAATTCAAACCCCAAATTTCACCAAGAATTTTGGTATGAAAAGGTGACACTAAAATCGCAGGGAAGATCAAAGGGGTGAGAAGAGCAGAGACCATTTTAAGGCAGAACAATGGGAATGGGAGGGTCTATCACACACCAGCTTATTTGAAGTTGCGGAGTGGCACCTGCATGGGGTGGAGACATACAAAGAAACCAATGAAATGGAATCGAGAGCTCAAATGCACACTGTGTGTTTATGGACTCTTGACGAATTGCCGAGGTACCGTTAGAAATCACTGGGGGGAGAAACTATATAATGAATGAGGTTGGTTGGCTTAATAAGTTATCTATGGGGAAAAGTAAAAGTAGATCTTACGTTTATGCCAAGCACAAAGGATTCTGTGTAAAGTCCAAAATGTGAAACTTTATGTCAGTACAAGGAAAACATAAAAAGCAGAAAATGGAGTTATATATGAAAATTTAAGTTTTTTTGGACAACAGGACATCGTAAACAAAGTTAAAGATAAGCTATGCAGAGATATGGGTAGGAGATGATATTTGGTGTGCATATAGCTGGCAAAACAATAAGCATCCAGAATATAACCAGAACTTTAATGACAAAAAGACAATCTAGAGGGGAAATGGGTAAAGAAAACGTGAAAAGCCAATTAACGCAAAAGAAGTACAACCTCGCCAATAATAAAAGATATACAAATTAAAATGCACCCATCAAATTGGCTAATGCTTAAGTATTTGATAACCCCAAGTCTTTGATGAAGATGTGGTTTAATGAAAAATCTCATTCACTACTGGTAAGAGAGTAAATTGGTAAAACCACTTAGGAGAGAAATTTGGTAATGTGTAGCAATGTAAATGTTGCTGGAACCCCAAAATTCCACATCTAGATATGTTCTGTAAGGAATCTCTTAAACAGGTACCCAAGGAGACATGTAGAAGGAAGTTCATTGCATCATTGTAATTGTGGCAAGTTGGGAATTTAAATGCCCATTGACAGGAGAGTGTTGTGGGCATATTAAAGCAGCAGAATAATCCCTTACAGCACTTAAAATCGCAAACTAGTATGTATCAACATGGATAACCCACCAAAAACAGTGTTGAAGGCAAAAAGCAACTCTTAGAATGGTATGTACATTCTTAAACATTAAAATAGAAAGTTTAAAAACGTGGAAATAATGCTATTGGATTGAATTCCATGAAATGGCAATTTTTGTAGGGGGTTAAAAAACACACAACACAACAGCCGAATATCAGCCTCTTTGTTAAGTTCATCCTAGTGTTTGTGGATATGACCTTGATAATGATAGACATGGAATTCGGGATGGCATTATCTCTGTGGGGGCGATGGTGAGGAGGGACTGATATGGTATTGACCAGGGCATGTTGGGGAGCTTCAGCTTTTACTGTCATATTTTATTGCTTCAAAGATGATTTGAAAACAATAGGGCAAATGTTATATGTATTAAAGTAGGGGTGTCGAACTCAATCAGAGAAGGGGCCAAAATCTAAAATCCAGCCTAAATCGTGGGCCGAATGGTTTACTGAACAGTCATAAACTGTCATTGTGATGGAAACGCAGCGGAGTGCAGTGATGACAGCGCGGTGCGGGCCACATTGCAAGGCCTGGCGGGACGGATTTGGCCCGCGGGCCTTGTGTTTGACACATGTGTATTAAAGCAATGTGTTGGGTACATGGGTACATTCTTAGTATGTTCTTATACATTGCTGTTGAAATAGCTGATGGTTTTTTATGCAAACCACCGTGTTGATAGAGGTATAAAAATTGTAATCTTACTACATAGAGAAGTATTAACAAAATGGTTAATTTTTTTTTTTCTGCTGACTTGTCTGAACATAGCATTCATGAGGCTTTTCGTATAAAATAAAAGGTTGAAAAGCACCTCACCTCACACATCCGGCAGACGCTTCTGGTTTTATTTTTATTTTTTAGCCTTACTAAGATCGTCGTCATAAAAAGCCATTCATTAAGTGACCCCCTCTTCTGCTTGCTCTTGTGTTTGGCGGGGGTCAGGTGCGTCTCTGCCATTTTATATGAAATCTGGTGATGATATTGAACTTACTTTTTTTTCCCCTTTCCTTTCCTTTTCTTTCTTTCTTTCTTTTTCTTTTTTTTTTCTTTTTTTTTTTTTTTTACTTCTTTGATGCCAACAGGAATCTGCAAGCAGAATATGATCGTCTGAAGCAGCAGCATGAACACAAAGGCCTGTCCCCACTGCCGTCTCCTCCTGAAATGATGCCCACCTCTCCTCAGAGTCCCCGGGATGCTGAGCTCATTGCTGAGGCCAAGCTACTTCGTCAACACAAAGGCCGCCTGGAAGCCAGGATGCAAATCCTGGAGGACCACAATAAACAGCTGGAGTCCCAGTTGCATAGGCTAAGGCAGCTGCTGGAGCAAGTGAGTCCCCTCCCCACCCTTTAACTTGGGACATTTACAAAATCGTACTTTCTTTCTCTTCAATAAAACTAAAACACAGACCCCCTTTTGAGAAGTGCCATAAGGTATCAATTTGTTGAGTACCACATATGTGCCTAGCAGTGGGCTAGATATCAAGGGCCATGAGGAGGAAAACTAGTGTGTTTGTTAATATTTGTTCAAGATTGTTTCCTACAAAAATGTTCTTTTTAAAAAAATACATTTTTATTGATTTCAGAGAGGAAGGGAGAGGGGGAGAGAGATAGAAACATTGATGATAGAGAATCATGGATCAGCTGCCTCCTGCACACCCCTACTGGGGATGGAGCCCACAACCTGGGCATGTGCCCTTGACCGGAATCAAACCCAGGACCCTTCAGTCCATAGGCTCTGTCCACTGAGCCAACCAGCCAGGGCCAAAAATGTTCTTATTGGAATGATTTAAATTTCATCTTTTAAAAAAAGTACCGAGAGATTTCCACTAGTTTTCTAAAAGTGAAAATGTTACCCCTTAAAATGGAACTCTCTTTTTAGCAATTAGTATTACTGTAATTTTGGTTATACCTTTTGGCTTTTTTTTTTCTTATATTTTCTAAAATGTAATGGTTAAGCCTCCTTTGAAAACCTAGTAAGATACTGCATTATAGTAGGCCCTACCTGCATGTGGTCCTGGCTTGCTGAGTATGTTACCTTTTAGGATATGTTTTCTTCATCTTGCTTCACAAAAATATGAATTCTCCACTACATTTTTTGTGGCCCCACATGGTTTCCCCATTCTCACATGACCTAAATATTTTAATTATTTAGACTAATGATTTTTATATATCCTTTTTCACTGTAGCTGTGATTCCCCCCCCCCCCCCAAACATATAAGGGGGCAAATGCTGACACAAAAGCAATATCCATGGAGCTCATCAATAGTGAAATTTCCCAAATTTAGCAATCTTTGGGAGGTTTCTAAGTAGGAAAGGTCATCATTTCTGAGTCCTAAGTGTCTATAATGGTTTTATGGTTATATATCTGAATGTTTACTATGAAAAATAATACTGGTTTCTTTTGGATGCATTAGCCCCAAGCAGAGGCCAAGGTGAATGGAACAACTGTCTCCTCACCTTCTACCTCTCTTCAGAGGTCAGACAGCAGTCAGCCTATGCTGCTCCGGGTGGTTGGCAGTCAAACTTCAGAATCCATGGGTAAGTGTCTGTCTTAGATACTCCTGCATTTTGTTATTCCTTGAAGTCTGGAAAGGGTGAACTCCTTGCTGAGAGGTTCAAATCGTCAGCTAAAATATCTAATATCATTTTTGGGCAAAGCATTGTGAAGGAAGAGAAAATGTTTGATGTTGTTTTCCTGGCTTTCCCACACCTTTAGTAATTTAGGGCAATCTCTGCATTAGATTTGTTGTCTCCACATGAGATCTGTAGATAGCTAGCAGATTGTCAGGACTGCAAAAGATCACTCAGTATATGAAAAGATACTGTGTGCCTTTGCAAACTCCATACATTCCAAATACAACTGAGTTTTAGTACCACTGTTGTTATTTCCTACCGCAGGGTTTTCCCCTTTTTTGAAGTAAGCAAAGCATGTGAAACTGAGTCACTTATGTTTGCCGTGAGACTCAGAGCCCTGGGTGCTTAGAGGCATTAATTATTTAGGCATGTCAACACCGGCAAAGAGGCAGCTTGCCCATGAAAGCACCCAAGGTCAAGTGCACGTCAGGCCCTGGTCCTGATGATTTATGGAGCCAAGAAGATTATGGCAGAACTTGAATGCAAGGACAAAACTGCTATATTCTGGGGGCTGGCATAGGCTGAGATCACTTGCCAATATAAAATGTGTAGGCTCTGTTGTTAAGTGTGCCCTCTGAAAGAAAAAACTGAAGTCAAGAGAGATTTTTTTAAATGTATAAGGCAATTTCATTTAAGAAGGAAAAAGCCCCAACCATCTTTTTGAAGGATGCTCACGGGTAATTGAAACAAATGCTATGGGTGTCCTCATACTTTGAAGGTCTATGTGCTAAGGTCTGTGAACCATATTCTGGATGGAGAGTTGCATTCTTTATATTTTTTATTTTTTAAATATATTTTATTGATTTTGTACAGAGAGGAAGGGAGAGAGATAGAGAGTTAGAAACATCAATGAGAAAGAATCATCGATCAGCTGCCTCTTGCACACCCCCTACTGGGGATATGCCCGCAACCAAGGTGCATGCCCTTGACCGGAATCAAACCCGGGACCTTTCAGTCCCCAAGCCGACGCTCTATCCATTGAGCCAAACCGGTTTCGGCTAGAGAGTTGCATTCTTTAAATAAACAACCCCAATGACCTTTTGAATGTGAAATATGGGTAAATTTATAGTAGGTGATCTATGTAATGAGTGAAGTGCTTCCTCAAAGCATGAAATACTTATCACTGATAAGAAAGTATCTATGTACTATATGTGTGTTTACTGGAAGGTGTCCTAATAAAGCTTACATTCTATTGGAAAAGACAGACAAAGAAATGGAAATTAACAGTTATGTTCTCTTGGCTTGCATGAGCTACTCACACAGGAGCCTATGGCTTCCTAACGACTCCTCTGTCTAATGACTCCTTAGCTTTTGATTTAGAACAATTTCAAACTTATGGCAGAATTGCAGTTAATTCAATGTTTTTGCCACATTTGCTTTATTTATTTATAGTCACATCTATTTTGTATATCTATATGTTCACACCTTTATATATTTATTTATATTTTATGTGCATATTTTATGCATGTGTAGAGCTTATTGATTTGTTTCTCATTTCACTAGCCCACTTAATGATTATGTTTCATACATAATGACACTTTACTCCTAAATCTTTCAACATGCATCTTCCAAGGTGAAAGATCTTTGCATTCATAACTACAATAGAATTACCACACTCAGGAAATTAACACTGATACAATACTATTATCTAATATATAATTTAAAATTCAAATAGCCCCAGTTCTGCCAAAAATATTCTGTATAGCATTTTGCTTTTTTTTTTTTTTTTCATTCAGCATCCAATCAAGGTCATGCTGTGCATCTAGTTACCACATCATTTTAGTCTCCTTTCATCTAGAACACTTCCCCAGCCTCTCCACATGACAGTGACATTTTAGAAGAGGTAAAGCCAGTTGTTCTGTAGAATGTTCCTCAATTTCCACCTGTCTGCTTGTTTACTCATGATAGGATTAAAGTTAAATATTTTATAAGCAATTACCACATAGGTGATGTTGTATCTTTCTCAGCTCATCACCTGAAGGCTTTCCTAATATTCTCTTTCCATCTCCTTTACTCTTTCTTGGCACTACTTCCATTCCTTGGCTTCTGCCATGTTGATAACCATAAATCCTAAATCTCTCTACTGTCTTCTGCATAAAAATATAACACAATCTGAAATCCCGGTCAACTTCCAAAAGATTTCTTCCAATTTTCCAAACTATACAAAGGCAGTCATTTTCCACACTTTGTCCCTTTATCTACTTTCTTTTACTTTTTAACTTCCTTGAAGTATAATTGATATACAAAAATTGCATACATTTAATGTGTACATTTGGATGAGCTTGGACACGTGTACACCCCTTTATATGATCATCACAACCAGGCACTAAATATATCCATCACTTCTAAAACCAAACCTTTCCTTAATTTCTTTAGCCAAGTCCTACCATCATCAATCAAATCATCATGGTCAATCTGTTTAACCTCTTTTAAAAAGAGAAGAACT